ACAAAAACAAATATAACAACAAAAATAATGATAAATTAGCAATAATGATTTACAATAATAATAGTAATAACATTAGTAATAATATTAACAGTAACTATGAACAATAATGAATATTGTTTGTTTCATTTCGATTATCAGGCTAAAAGCAGTTGAGGCAAAGGATTCCAATAATTGTATTATTTATTGTTTTATCTACTGTGAATCACAGGAAACTTGAGACCCCTGTCAATGCATTATAGATTACACTGACTGCATGTCTACACTTTTGGTCAAAACTGATATTTAATATATTCATTCTTTTTAATGAACCAAATGTCAGGTCCCAGGTTGGAAGAAGCCATTTGCAGGAGATCTGATTGGTTGAAAGTTTTATTTCAGTCCGCCCATTTATCCAAATACGGAAAATATTAGATTACGTCATTCTTTTGGCATCCTGGTACAGTATCTGCATTCAGTGTTTTACAAGTCGCTTATTCCATCTCTAAATTAACTTTCTTGGTGGCGCTGTCCAGAATGAGAAAAATAATTTTAAAAAATAAGAGACTTGTGGCAAGTCTAGAGTGTGGGAGACAGTCTTGTTTTAAGAGAGATTTCTGTGATTTGCAAGAAACTTGGGGCCCCTGAAATGTTTGATAATGAAAATCAAATATAGTTTTAAAATTAACAATATTTAACCACACTTAAGCTAGGAATAGAAATTACTGACCTTGAAAGGACTATGGCTACAGCATCATTTAAAACACTTTCCCCAAAGACTAATATATACATGTCCACATCAACATGTAGATCATGAAACACTGCCAACACAGTGACTGTAAAATACGAAATTCAATAACAATTAAGGGATCTCTTTAGAATATTCATAATCTCCTGATAAAATATAGTAGTAAAAAGTATTAATAACTAGAAGAAATGTAGTTAAAACACACCATGCATCAATTGGCCTAATAACATTGAAGGAAGGAAGGAATCATGGTCAACCCAAAACTTAGGTTAATGTTGTAGTGGTGAAACAGAAGCAATCTGACACTTTGTATTTAATTATATTAAGCTACAATTTATCAGACAAACATGAACTTGAAATTCATAAAAGAGTACAAAATTATAGCAACAGCATATTTAACCCCATGATCATATGAAATGGAAAATATTAAAACACTGCTATTAACATGAAACAAAGCCATTGAGAAAATATAACAATTTATCATCACGAAGTTGAACAGAGGTTTGAAATTTTGATATTCTATGTTTTATGGATTTTCTTTCATATGTACACATGTACTTTTATTTATGAGCAATTTGTAAGTGGGATTTAAACCTGCCAACACAGAAAGCATGGATGAGTTAAAAGCAGCCCAAAAAAAAAATGTTAAGCAGTAGACACACCCTTCCATTGGGAGCCTATTTTCAACAACTTTTGTAGTCAAAAGTCTGTAGATCAGATATATAGTGATCTGTGCATCAATGCAAGTTAATAAATTTAATGTATTTGAAATATCTATTTTGTGTTTCGATTAAAATTATTGGGCTTTTTCAGATTTTAAAACAGATGGCATTTTTAATTAAATTATTTTAATGGAAAGTTTCCGGATTTCGTACATTTGTTTAATGTACTCTCATTTCCTGTTTGTCTATTTAAACACATCCCCTAGTAATCTTCCTAGTAACGTCTCTGTAGATTTTTAACAGACTTTAGTAGTTGTAACTCCATTGTTAACGATAAATTACAAACAGAACATTAAGAAATTAGGAACAAAGCTAAATAATGAATGTAAATGTATTGTTGACAGAAGTAGTGCTCTCTTTAAATTTCAGGTTAAATTGGGTATCGAGGTGAAACAACAACTCTAATTCTAATCTAAATTCCATTTTGAACCCAAATCTAAAAACCATAAAGATTTTCACAAACCATCAACATGCAGTTACTGGAACAATATGGCTCAAAAAAAAAAATGATTAGTCTTCTATAGTATTGGAAAAAAAAAAAAAAAAAAATTATCCAAAAATAAAAAGAGTGAATGTCGACTGAATGATTTACTTTCACTTGCTCCATCACACCAGTATCATCTACGTAATAAATTTCAATACTTCTTACCTAAAGTAAAAGCAGAAAGATAAATATATATATATATTTGTTTCTAATTGCAGTTTTCACGTAACCCCTCCCTGTGTACAACACATGTGTATTAAAATCAAGGTTTCAGGAGACCCCTGCATCTATCTGTGTCTGAGAGAATTCATTTTACAATAACTTTTTAAAAATAACACTTTAACAACTGATAAGATAACCTCAGATCAGTCTAAACCGTCTGAATCTTATACTACAGTTAAACTTGCCATAAGTCGACTACGCCTAGGACGAATAATAATTTTTAAGTCAATCTTATTTTACATACCAAATTGTTGTGTTTTCCATTAACAATCTGTAAGTTGAATTTTATCTAAGTCAAACGATATTTCAATGGCCTTTTGGACTCGACTTAGGCAAGTTCAACTGTATTATAAAAACCCATTATGATCTTTAAGTTTTTATAAAAAAACACTAACCTGGGTCTGTGGCTGAAATGATGGCTCCAAATAAAAAGCAATCTTGGATGTTGAAGCCCTCTTTCTGCATTACCAGCACAACAAATATGTACATAACACCTCTAAAAAAATGATTTTCACGTTTCATTTAGATGCTCAAAAAATATATATTCTTATATAACATAATTTATTTAGTTTTAATAAAAAGATAAAGCAAACTGTGGTCCAAAATATGTAAAATGATCAGTAACTGATCTATGATAAAAAATAATAGAGGTTAGAACCTGAGAGAATTAGAAGTCCTATGGTGTTACAAGGTTTCACTTTATAGTAACATGGATGTTAGGGTTGCATTGGGTTGAATTTATTTGGTGTAAGCACCAAGGATAGCCCACAAAAGTCTAAAAGAAGACTTATTTCCAGTGGGATCCTTCTGATGGTAATTGGTTAGAATGTACTGTGTTCTTTAACATGCAATATGGGCCATAAATGCACACAGGACCAACACCTTAAACATCTCATCCGAAAGACGGTACGTTATTGTAAGGAGAGGCAGCGATGAGAATTGAACCCGGGGACAGCACACACAGTGGCTACCATCAAATTAGCCAACTGAGAAAAGCTGCTCTCAATTGATTGGGTTGATGATGATGACAGGGATCCCCAGTTGGAAGAAGCCATTTCTAGATTTAGTAAAATGAGCTTCCAATATCTAATTTTATTTTGCTCCATAAGAACTGATTTCCAGGAGACTAATAATAATACCATAATTCAAAAACATGTATGAATTTTGAAAATTTGAGAAAATTCTTGATTGCTCGTGGGACCGCAGGAGGCTGACCTGACTTGGGACACATGTGACGACGATAATGACTTTTCTAACTTACCCAACTACAAAACATGAAATGCATGTCCCTAGAAATGCATACAACATAATTGATCCCAGATTACGAAAAAAATGGCGCTGAAAAAAAAATAAATCAATCAAAATATTAACATCGTTTACTGTACATAACACTAAACTGCTGAAGTTTGTTTGACTGCTGTAAGGAAGATTTCTGTCACATTGCACAGCAAATAAACAGGCCAAAGGTTGACTTGGCTTTACTGATGTTTTCTAAGTGTTTTTATGAGGCTTATGCGTGGAGCTGTGTTTTAGTTGTATTTGCAGTGTTTATGTTATTATAATCATAATGGGCGGCCTGAATATTTAGGCCTATCACTTGTCTTAGACAAATATTAGTAACAATATTAACAAACAATTTGCTCACTAATAAAAAAAAAAATCCTTTATGTTACATGTCTTTACAAGCAACTTACTCGTTTTAGACTGTATCCTGCATAAAATATTATAGGTGGGAGTAACACATTGAAGAAAGTCTCAGGGTCAAAGTTCACCTGTAAAAGAAACACTCAAATAATAGTTGTTATATTAGAATTCCATAATATGAAATTTAATGACGTTAATTTATTGAAATTAACAAATTTTGCATACAGAACAGTATGTCAGCGATTTACAAGAAACATGGTGTAGGTGAATGAATATGGTCGTGAATACATTGGTGAATTTAGGGCTCTGCGTCTTGCACAACTAATCACCTCATATCACATTATTTTTCTAACTAGCTCCACATCACTTAATTGTCAAGCACCCATCTGGGCCCCTCCCCCACCCGCTTCAATACATCTAGATAAGCCACTGAGTGAATGACTGATGGAGGAACAGACAACAAAGTTTAAAGAGGTGGATTTAATGTTACAATAGTTTGAAAAAACTGCGTGATAGATATAATAGGTGGATAATATCTAGATATGGATAGATTTAAAGATTGATACATTAAAATGAATGGCAGATTTTTATTACTCTGAAATAGATAGATGCTGTAAGCAGATAGATTAGCAGCATTCTAGGTAGATACGTAAAATAGAAAGATACAAAAAGTAGTTTGTCCAGTCAAGAGTAGAACAGTAGTCCACATACCTTCTCTTCAAAATCAGAGTTAGTTGCATTTGTCAAGTTCTGTACAATTCCTTCTTGTCTATACTGATACTTGACATGGTTGTCATCAGGGTAGTTGACTTCCAGGAGCAGAGTACTAGACGGCTCCTTGTTGCAATCGCCGCTGCGACTGAATTCCTCTGTGTCGTGGGTTTGGTCTGTACTGGAATACCACACAATTGCACCAACAATAACACCTACAAAAACAATCAAAATCAAAAAGTTGTGATGGTACTTTTTATGCTTATTATACAGTACACTATGTACCTAGAAATTTAAGAGTTTTTTTTACATGGCTGGGTGCTTAGGACCCTGTGGTGCATCTAGGGCACACATGATTAGGGGGTGTGCAGGGAGCTTAGACCTCTCAGTTTCTCCCATTAAAAATGTTGAGGCAAAATAAATCACGCAAAATAAATCACCTATATTTTACAAGATAACACACGTTGACATAATCATCAACCCCTACTTCACCTGCGCCACCCATTTCAATATCATTATAAATCATTACAAGAAAACTATCTTATTGTTTTCCTAAATTAATTTGCCATTCTTATAGGTTTTAAATTTATGAAGGAGTGCAGTGAATTTGTTGAGGAAACTTTAATTGGAAATGGCTTCGATTTGAGACTAGGACACTGGGATTTAAAGCAAGCATCTTGAAATTTTTTCTTTTAGTTGGTGTATGAATACATTTCATTGAAAATACAGTATCTAGACGTAAAACTATAGAACCCAGAAGAAATTTTTTTTTTAGTAAATTGTTAGTAGATATTGTTTGTACTAATTATTTTAATCATGTATTTTACTTTGAATATCAATGCACCGGCAAACACCCCAAGGATGATTTGACTTTAGCAAAATAAACAATAAAAATTAAAATCCTCCCTCCCTTATCACTTTTTTCCACCTAGATACTGTAGAGTGGTAATGTAATTATTATTATTTATTGGGCCTAAGCTATACCAAGCTTAAATAATAATTTAGCTAAACTTTAGACGTAATTGGTAACTGTGGATCAAGTTTTCCAAGTTGATCCCTAAATCCTAAGCAGTTGTCAAATATGGATTTTGCACAGCTGTAATCTTTATTAAATGTTGCAATAAAGAAATTATTATTGAACATTCATTGACAATAATACTTTATGTATATTAAAATTACCATACTAAGACTTTAAAATTTGAAAACTTTCTAATCTGTCCACAAGAATCCTGCAGGTTAAAATAAGATAGGGCTGTTGTGCATGATTATCACTTTTATTGATTTTGTAGACTAGGAGGGAGAAGGGAAACTGATAAATACAGTAGGCCTACAGTGACCCTTCCTGTGGGACACCCCTATTCAGGTGACTCTTCCATGAAATGGGGGAGGGGGAGAGAAGGTATCTTTTAACCTTCTTCAATTAGATCATCTACCACTATTATTACAGAACATTTAAATATGCCTCCACAGCTGTAACAGCTTGCCTTAAAGAATTTGAGTCAACTCGGCCCCATGTCGACACGGCCTCATGTCGACTCGGCCTCATGTCGACTCGGCCCCAAGTCGACTCGGCCCCAATTTACTGTGTATTTACTGAATATTTACTACAGTAAAAGAGATTTGAATGCAAAGCCAAAATTAAAATGTTATTGTTGCCTGTTATTTCTTTTCATTTACAATAATTAAAAAACATCATTAATAAAAATAATATTAATAATAATACATATTAAACATACTACTATATATTATATATTATTATATATTATATATTATATTATTATAAATATTATATATAGGTCCTATACAGCCATAATGTCGGCGCTGGTTCGAAAGGCACGCTCGCCTATGGTTCCGGTGGTGGAACAAGTCTTCTCTGATAAGGACTCTAAACCGTAGGTCCAGTGTACACAATTGGCTCGTGTGCACTTTAAAGAACCCAGCACATCATTCAAGAAGAGTATGGGGTTACACCGGTGTACTGGTTCATCTCTAGTCCCCTGTCCGGCCACAGAAGGAGCGCTCACGACGCGGCCTATGACAGGTACCCATCATACCTGCGAATCCTTCTACCACACTACGTAAAGCTAGATCATACACACTAGCTACGTAGTGATTCGATAAGAAGAATATACTGTGTATATATACACTATATATAACAAGAACTTGCGTCTATGTCTACATGAACTGAATAATTTGTTCCTTTGATTTAAAGTACAAATTTTGGGTTGACATATAATAAAATACTTCTCTTGTATACAAAGGTTACATCGTTAATAGATATACACCATTTAATTTTGTACTTTGTTATCTTCTTTAAGCTTCCAAACATATTTGCTAAGTGTAGTTAAATGCTTCAAATGTATATAATTATGAAGAAATATACATATCTAATATCTTCGGAGATTTCAGGGCAGCGGAGGGCGTAATAAAAATTAACTTTTATTTTTTCTGAAATTTCCACTTTTTTGTGGCGACGGGTGCACTAATTGGCCAAAATTAAAATTTTATTCTTATTTGAAATCATCAATATTTGCAGTCGGCGGGTTCACTAAACAACTTATAAAAAAAGTCTCGTCTTAACCACAAATTTGTATGGAAATCGACCCTTGAAATGCGCCGATTTAATTCTGCTGTATAACCGGTGTCCAAACTGTAAAATAAGGATTTGCCTGCTAAAACTCAAACTTGCCCATCCTCAAGGTTAAAGTTGGAGTGTGCCCTCACTAATCACAGCAAAAATGATTTGTGAATGAAATCATAATCTGCTGGCTGAACACCTTATCACACAAAAAAAAACTCCTGAGGTGGACCTCTTTTTCTCACAAAATCAAGTATATACTAACTTGAATTGTTTTATTCAATGTGACCACTGCTTGGGATTTTTTGTTAAATTTTCATTAAATCTTGGGATTTTTTGAATGATATGACATTTTAATTTTTTCTATCAAGAAGGGAACAAATAGGCTGCTACCAGTTGAAAGTTGTAAATGAAGGCTGTTTATTTGTTAAACTCGGCAAAAACTTAGGTGAGGTGGACCTCTTTTTCTCACAAAATCAACTATATTATAATGTGAATTGTTTCATTTAATGTGACCACTGCTTGGGATTTATCTAATCAAGAAGGGAACAAATAGGCTGCTACCAGTTGACAGTTGTAAATGAGGGCTATTTATTTGTTAAAAATAAGACAAATTGGAAGCTTGAAGGCTGTTGTTTAAAGCAATTTTCGATATTTGCAAAAAATAATAAGGTGCATTTTAAAGTTAAATATCTTAAATATTATGTCCATGCGCAGATCCAGACTCGCATCGTGCACCATTGATTGTAGCACCGGGTGTTTAGTAGTAGGAAAATATGGCGCAAGTAAAATCTTTGAATGTTGGACTGAAAAAAGACAACAGTAAAACATCTTCATATTAAATGAAAGTACATATTGGCATCTAATAAATATTATGACATGATCTATTATAGGCGCGATACCATTTATTCTTGGACGAAGATAGAAAAATACCTTCTGAAATGCAAGTCGTCTTAACAACCTGGAATGTTTTGGAATCTTTAAAAACATATTTGCAAAGACTTACTAATACTAGCCTACTTCTCTCATTCGGCCAGTACTCTGCCACCCATGGTCTAAGGTACAATGCACTATAAAGTGCTACTGCAATTCTTTGTACTGTATTGGGCTGTTGATAAGAGATTTATACACCTTGCAAAAACTTCAAAATTCTGCTGCTAGACTCATTGTTTTCCACTCATACCTTTCTCCTTATTTGCGAAATTCATTGGTTGCCTGTCCAAGAAAGAATTCAATTTAAACTTTTCTTTTTGTCAAATCATTTCTGGCTTCTGCCCTTTGTTATTTCTGATTACCTAATACTGAATGTAGGGAAAAATGGCCCCGGTAAAAATGGCCGGGAAAAAATGGGCCCGGTAAAAATGGCCCCAAATGACAAGTAGGTAAAAATGGCCCCAATGAAAAAATTCAGTAATAGAAATGATATTTTTTTTTAAATCTTCAAATATTTAAAAACTGTAATAGCAAGAATTGAATCAATAAATAAAAAATGGCCCCAAATTATAAAATTCAATAAAAAAAATAAATTTACCCTGTAAATTTATAAAATAAGATTTATTTTTTCCTTTGAAAATAAGATCAATTTATATGATTTTTTTTTGTTAAATTTCTTTAAAAGTATTTGTTTTTTAACAAATACAGTTACACCACAGATGCAAATAATGTACTGAGAGATTTAATTATCGGAAAATAATGGCCATTGAATAACATTTTTTGATAGTAGAAATAAAGGTTTTAAACACGTTATTCCACTACAAAGTGGAATGACATACATGCAGTACTTCAACTATAAAAATATGCAACTCATAGATAACCACAAATTCACTTTTGATAAAGTAGCAAATGAAATAACTTTACATGTTATAAACATGCAAATAAACAGTAGTTAAAGCATGTTGATAAATTGTGTGTTTGAATCACAAGTTCATGCATGGGAAAAGGGAGAGGCTTACTTTCTCACAAACTTAGCAATAAACATTCTGTTTAGAGGTACTTCAAAGAAGTATTTGTTATTAGTAAACTGAATAATTAGGAATACATTTATTTAAGCAACTTATTTAATTGCATTCTTGGTTTTTACTCCCCGCCAACTAAATCCAAGTGCCTACTGGCTCAGAAACCAGTGGTCATATTTTTTTTTCAATTTATTTTCAAAACTATACTAAATAATGTAAACTGATATATACTATATATACATAGTTATGTAAATATGGCAATTATGCATACACTGAGGATTGCCAACGAATTGGGTTGGTATTCAAACTTTTACGATAAGGTGAACCTATTTCGATTAAAATGTTAAAGTGATTATATAAGAATTAGATGAGTCACTGTCATAAAAAACAATTCGCGGAAGAGGAGTATTCAAAATATCGGTACTATTAAAATAAGACTACTCAGATGACTGATGCCGTTCTCCATCGACAATTGATTTTATGTGCATTATTTACCTATAATTCTTATCTATATACACTAATTTCTAAAAGAATCTTTACACTCACAATTTCATCTGAAAAAAAGTTAACAACAACGGAGTGACGGTATTCCACATCTAAATAGCTGTGGGAAAAAAACAAATTATCAGCCTGCTGATCACTGTTTGAATAGTGATCATATCTGAACAATAATGATGCAGCAACATGCTTGGTCAACTTGTAAAAATTCAGAGCCTTCTGTTGTTGCCCATAGATCAAATTTGGGAGTGTTATACAGTACGATTTCAAAACATTGTCATCGTAATGAAACAGATATAATATTGGAAACAAAAAACTTGAAACAAAATCGGTGAACGAATTCAAATAAATATTAACAATAGATTTTAATGGTCAACTTGTTATCAAATTTTACAACCAATTTTTACATACATTTGTGAGTGATGGTGTGTGATAGACATGCCATGAACAAACATTAGCGGTTAGCTGTATAATATCTTTGAATATCATTTTAGACTGATTCATTCACATGCTTGGTCATTTTTTAATCATTTAGAATTCAAAAGTTTTAATAATAGGGTCTGTATCTCTACACTTCTGGACGAAGTATCAAATTATAGTTGCCATAGATCCGGTTTCGTACACACTCGCTGAAGTAAATTTTAAAGGAAACTGTTTTACCCATTTCTTTTTATTGTTAAATACTCTAGTGCAATACTAGTGGGGAGTGGGCGTGGCCCTAAACTACTTCACATACAGTAACTCGGCAACCATAGGTCACAGAACTTTGGAATAGGCCTACACGGGCAAGTGCAGCTCACAAAGTAAGCCTTCTTGTCATAGGCCTATATATACCTGTATGGCCCCATAAAAACAATTATTAGTTTATCACCCGCTCCCTCATCACTTTTGGGAAAAATCTGATTTTTTTTTTTTTTCAATCAACATATATTTTTATTTTAAATGGTCCTTTTTCCATCTTTTTTCACTTGAAGAGCTCAGGGTTTCTTGCAAATATGCTTACTGGTACAACAAAAACATATTTTTTAAATATAAATTTGATTCCATTCTTATGACTTTTTATATGTGTCTCTAACAATTGATTTACTTGTGATCAGCAAAAAACTCGGGATTAGCAAAAAAAAAAAAAAACCTCCCTTCCTCATCAGTTTTTATTCTTTGATAGGGTATATAGGGATAAACTAATACTTTTTTTATGGGGCCTAAGGACGATCCAGGAACATTTCCAAACTATCGGCCTATTTTTTGAACGATGGCCTGCTTTTAAGATCGTCCTAAAAGAAATGAGCCCGATTGTCTTTGGGTCCGATTGTCTGTAATTCTTGTTTAATATCTGCCTAGGCCATAGTTAGGCTATTATTAGTATTAGGTCTAGCCTAGGCCTACAGTGTATATAGCCTAGGCCTGTGGTGGCTAGCCTATGCCTAAGAGGCCTAGGCCCTAGGCCTACACTAGGCTAGATGGAGGGCCAGACATGTTCTAGTACTAGGCCTAGGGCATAGCTAGGTCTAGGCCTAGGCTAGCACTAGACCTATCCTTCCAGCCTCTTGGCATAGGCCTAGGCCCTAACCTATTTAGGTTACAGACAGGCTGTAAGCTTTAGCCTAAAGTTTAGGCCTACAGTAAGCATTGCTAGAGAGGCTTATGTGCATTTAGGCCTAGCATTTAGCATTGAATAGGGAGGGGCGTGACCGACTCCCTTGTTGGCCTTACCATAAAGCATAGCCAATCCCGTTTCGTGGACGTACCGAACCCGGTGGTGTTTAAACAGCCAGATTGTCAAAATAGTTAACACAAGCAAGCTCAAGAATAAAAGTAAATTCAAACTATCTAGTTGATGTTGTCGTTCGGCATTATCCTGTGCCAATTCTTCAGGGTCCGTAGAACACACATCACTTCCGTGAACATACACACACCACGATAAACACAAAAGTGGAGTTAAAAACTCCATCCTTGCAAAGCGAGTTCTAAAATCACGGATCATATCATGTGTAGATGTGCCATCAGATGTGTGCACACACAGCCGAGCGATCAAGTCGAGCGTGTGTGTGTGGTTGTAGTTTCTGTCATGTGACGGTACTGTTTATTACAAGCCAGTTCGAAGGTCACTGAGTATGGAACGCCGTTACTGCCTTTGGTGGTTCTTTTCCGTTCGGCGCATTTGCTATTCGGCCCTTTTAACATTACGTTCGGTGCTTTTACATTACGTTCGGTGCTTTTTACATTACGTTCGGTGCTTTTAACATTACGTTCGGTGCTTTTACATTACGTTCGGTGCTTTGAAAATTACGTTCGGTGCTTTTGCCGCACTTTTATCATTTGGTGCTTTTAACTTTCGGCCCTTTCATCATTACGTAGGTTCTTTTATCACTCGGTGCTTTCATGACCTTTGACATCGGGTCAAGTGAAAAAAATCAACGGCTGTGGGAATGAGCCTAGTGGAAACAAAGCATATTCGACATGTGATTATCTTAGTGATAAAATTAATAACTAACGAAAACAAAAATGTCTCGATCAATCAAAACAGTATTAGAAGACCTGGATCTACATTTTGTTGTCCCTAAGTTTGAAACGGAAAGGGTATGTTCTAGTTTTTTTCCACATGATTCTGGTGGTATATTAAGGCAAATAGAAATATAAGATTATCACTATAGACCTAGTATTGAAAACAAAAATAACTAGGG